TCCAGATGTGTACTACCCATCTCAAACTCAACACAGAACTCATTATCTTCTCTTAAATACTGGCTCCTTTCTCAACTTGATTTCTGTTAACAGTACCATTATCCTTCCAAATTTAAAATGTTTTTGACTTATTTTATTCCCCTAATTTTCCATCAATTATGCTGACATAATCTTTTAACATCTCCACCATTAAATCTCCATTTTCAATTCAAGATATGCAAACATTTACTTGCATTTAAGAGTTTTCAAGTTGGTGGGAAGATAGGTGATTCAGTCTTCTTTCTACAGGCATTTACAAGCAGGTGAGATAGTTGAGCAGGTAAAGGCATTCACTGTGTAAGCTTGATGACCTGAGTTTGACTACTAGAGTCATCTTAAAAAAAAAAAAAAAAAGCCAGAAGCCAGATGCAGTGGTACATATGTGTAATCCCAGCACTCCAACAGAAAGAATCAATTCCTGAAACTTCCTCTGCCCTTATAATGTAGGTGTGTGTGTGTGTGTGTGTGTGTGTGTGTGTGTGTGTGTGTGTGCGCATATGTACATATATCCACATATCTTTTAAAAATCCTACTAGGGGCTTTTGTAATCTTTGTTTGTTTGTTTGTTTGTTTTTTGAGACAGGGTTTCTCTGTGTAGTTTTGGTGCCTGTCCTGGATCTCGCTCTGTAGACTAGGCTGGCCTCAAAATTGCAGAGATCCGCCTGGCTCTGCCTCCTGAGTGTTGGGATTAAAGGCGTGGGCCACTGCCGCCCAGCTGTAATCTACTTCTTAAAAAAGTAGATTACAAATATATTAGATTTATTAGACTTATTCATTTTATTTTACATGTTTTATCTGCATGTATGTCTGTGTATCATGTGTGTACCTGGTGCCTATGGAGGTCAGACAAGGGCATCAGATCCCCTGGGACTGGAGTTATAGATGGTTGTGAACCACCATATGAGTGCTGGAAATGGAACCCGAGTCCTTTGCAAAAACAAGTGTTCTTAACTGCTGAATCTTTTCAGCCTCTTATAATCTACTTTTAATGATAAATAATCAAAACAATAATTATAATAGAGAGGGCTGAGAACAGAAACTCTTATTTCATACCTGGTTTACTGTAAAAGTATTCAAACTGGCCTAACTGCTTTTAGTCTTTTCCTTTATAATACTAGTTTTAGACTTATGTCTTCTTAAAAGTTTATTTTGAACTGGGCATGGTAGTACACACATTCAATTCCATCACTTGGGAGGGAATGGAAGGAAGATCAAGAGTTTAAAGTCAACATAAGGTACATGAAAGTCTATCTGAACAAACATATTTTGAATGTACATTTTCTTGCTCATATATTTTTAATTCTTTCCAATAGCTTTCATGATAAAACTGTCAGTCGTTCATTAGCCTATTATGCAAAGTTTTACAGTAAGCCCTAAGTATTCTTCATTATCTTTCATTACTTCTCTATACAAACCCCATACCTTTCAAGTCAGTTTATTCATTGGACTTGAAAATAATTTAATATTTTGTATGACACAGTTTTATGTAGCACGAATCTTAAAATTTCTTATTAATAAAAACAAACCTGGAGCCACGTACTGGGGTCAACGCTGGAAGATCAGAGAAGCAGAACAAGTCACAGCTTCCTCACCTCACAATTCCTCGGCTGATCCTGTTTCCTCAGACTGGAAGCCTCTGTGTCCTTACCCAAATGGATCTCAGCTGAACTGCTTCTCGAAATCCTGAATGCTTAACTAGCCAAAAGCTTCTAGTTTCTGGTCTTCATGCCTTATATACCTTTCTGCTTTCTGCCATCACTTCCTGGGATTAAAGGCTCTTGTTACCACGCCTGGCTGTTTCCAGTGTGGCCTTGAACTCACAGAGATCCAGGTGGATCTCTGCCTCAGGAATGCTAGGATTAAAGGCATGTGTGCCACCATTTTCTGGCCTCTATATCTAGTGGCTGTTCTGTTTCTCTGATCTTCCAGCATTTACCCCAGTATCTGACCCCAAATAAGTTTATTAGGGTGTACAGTATTTTGGGGAACATAATATCACCACAGTTTTATACAAGAAAAACTCACTGTTTAATTAATAAATATCTATTTGATCCTTTTGAGATTCATATTAAATCCTCTCAGTTCAGCATTCATAATGAGAAATGAGTTCTCCTCTCTTCAAATGCCCAAAGTAATTTTTACCTGACTAAATAATTTCACAATTAGGTACTGCTGCTTCTTCTTCTTCTTTTTTTTTTTTTTTTGCCATAGTTGTCTTGATTTATCATTGAATTGTTCTCATTTAACTTGTTCAAAGTCCATATTTTCTCCCTAGCCATAAGCTATGCTTCTCCAGCAGTTTTATCTTGTACTTCTTTGTGTTCAAATGCAGCACCTAACAGTGTCTTAAACACTATTTCCCATACAGTGGTAGGACATGGTAAGATATGGAGAGTCAATGGGTTAGTAGCCAGAGAGATTCTGAAGTCCCACTGAAATGCACAGTGGAATGTCGGGGGGAAATGCCCAAGTTTCACAGTAGGGATCTTACTTTGTCTGATAGGTGATAGGAAAACCATGGACGTTCTGAGTAAAAATAATGAACAGGTATAGTTTTATGAAGTTTCATCGATTCAGTAGCATGTCAAATTAACAAGCATATCCGAACATTACTGTCTAGAAGTGATGATGTACTAGAATTTAACCAGCACAAAGAACTTCTCTTGAATCTTTTCGAGACAGAAATTTGATTTAAAATCCCCAAGGTCAAGAAATCATAGTTTGACAGGCTTTCTGAGACAAAAATCTTCATTTCTTTCATCCTATATTACATAAAAAGCAGATCGAATTATTTATTTATTTTTCTTGGCATCCTCACTGGGCATAGTATATTTTCATGAATGGCAACTATGTTAGCAAATGACAAAGGTTTTGTTTAAACCTCAACTCAGTACAAGCTAACCCTGAGAATCTTATCTTCCGAGTTCTTCTGAAGAGTTCAGTAAATTCTTTATTACTCACAGGTGGAGATGCTTGCCATCTACAGTCAGGAAAGAACGCTAATCCTCAAGATAAGATTTGTTAACTGCATGTGGTGCCTCATACCTATAATCCTGCATTTGGAAACTGAAGGAGGATTCTGTTAATTAGAGTCCAACCCAAACTACACAGAAAGTTCCAAGCCAGACCAGGCTACAGAGTGAGTCCCTATCTTAAAACACCAAACCAACTCTCATCCCAATTTCCTTACATCCAAGGTTTAGTGCTACAGAGCAAAGCATGGGATTCGTAGTAGTCTACTCACTCAGCAATTAAACTTTTCTCTGGCATTCAAGCCAAATGTACATGCTAAACATTCCTTTCATTAAACAGAGACAGATTGAACATTGTCTATGCAGAAGTCAATGTGATGATGTACACAGATTTGCATTTTGTAAGTTATACTATCCTGGTCTTTATCAACTCTACTTGTGGGCAAACATGAATTACAGAAAACAACTCCCTTAATCAGAGGACAGGAGCTAGGATGGACAAGGTTACTACTGTAATGTTGTTTTAAAATGATTATTACATATCTTTATTTAACCAAATTCTTTTTAGGTATAGTAAGATAAAGACAAAGAAAAGTGGGGAGAAGAGAGAGGGAGGGGGTGGAAGAGAGGAACAGGGAGGGAGGGAAGAGAGAGAAAGTGACCAACTGAGACTCCAGGCTTGATAATTAGAATTTATAAGAGTATTCAACAGCAAGGAAACAATGTTTAAAACTGTGCCTTCTTTTCCTATGATGCAGTAGGGTACACTTTGTTGGTTTTGCTGAAGGATATCCATATTTACTTCCCTGAATTTATGTTTCCCTGTATGTATGTGCATGTATGGGGCTGGAGAATAGGAAACAAGTAGAATGAGACCAGACTCTAAAGACACCAAAAGTTAGGAGGTATAGATAGTTTTTTATAGTTATACAATTATTCAACAGAATGAGGCCATGACAAACAAAGAGTAGGACTAACATAAAAATATCTACCTGATGATAGAACTAGAAAAGACTGGATTAGGATAACCCCTTTATATCTCAACTGCAGGAAAAAGGACTCAGCTATAGAAGGCTAAGGTTGGAAACCAAATTGAATTAATAAAACAAAGAAAACTTACGCTAACTATGACAGATGTTTAAATAGTAGTAGAGGTATCTTTGGAACTGGCAGAAGACTACTCATAAGGCTTCAGTTAATAGTCATAAGAAATTAATTAGAAGACTGCAAGGATTTCATTTTTTTAAAATAAAGGTATACAAATATGTACACAAATATATGAGATAAATAAAATTAATAAAAACAATGCATTTGAAGGCAATCATTAATAAAAAGAAGTAATCACATAGTATCATGTAGCTTTTCTATTACAGTAAAGATATGGTTGCATTTATAACCTAACTTTCCTAGTTATTTATTATATCTACAACTCTTAAGATCAATAACTGGCACTTAGAAATTTATTAAAAAGCATCTTTAAATACAAAGTTAAAATAATTTCTGGTCTATATGTCTAATTTCATATGCTCAAAAGAAATCCTTTATGATCACTACAAATACACTATGCACAAAAGCTACTTCTTGATTTTTCACGAACACAAAGCATCTCCCTCACTCTTCCTCAGCAAGCCTCGCTATTACTGTACTCAGAGCAGTGTAAATTAACAGTATATTTTGGCTATTAGAAGTTATCTACATGACATGAACAGCTGGCCAGATAACATGGTGAGCTTTGTATGGAGCTAGCACTCTTTGTTAAAGCAAGGAAATTGTCCCTTATTTCTTACCCAGTGGTGGGCAGCACTATGTCTACAGACAGGGGGAAAAAAAAAAAAAAAGAAAACTTGAAACACACACAACTTAAACACATTTTTCAGTCCTTCCTTCTTTTTAAAAAATACACAGTCAGATTTACAAAATTTGGGGTGGTATTCCCCAAACCACGAAAAGTTTGGACAACAAAGGGTTACAAGAACAAGAAAGCCCTACCTTACCCAGAAATGACAGAAGGCTCTTCTCCTCTTCGGTGCTACTATCCAACCACTCCACCACATCACCAGGGGAAAGGAGACTCATCCTCCAGCCAGAAAACTTTTCCATACAGAGTACAATTACTGAATGATGGAGCGGCAAGAGAGGGATACAGAGACTAAATTCTTGGGGCTCAATATTTAAATTGCAGGCTAAGCTGTAAGGATGGAAGAGAAAATGTGATCCTCCTTCCACTCTGAATTCTGTCTCTGTGGCATCAATCTAACACAGCAGTGGGGGTGGGAGGCTGAGCGGAATAGAGAGGGTTAAAAGAGGCTGGTAGGAGAGAGGAAAGAGAGATTTGCTCTCTGACTCTTTTTGTTAAGCTTTAGCCTGAAAGAGAATGCCAGAATAAAATTGAATAATGATGTGTGTTTAATGACAGGAGAAAGCATGGGGAAATAAAGAATAGACACTCAAAGAAAAAAAAAGGGAAGAGGGGGGTGTCCTACACTGGAAGCAGCTTCGATAACCAGACAGCACAATAGCTAATCAGCTAGGTAAAGCACACCATCAACAAAAACAAAGATGCAAGAACAAACTCAGCATTCTGTTTTGTTCTGGGGAGAAAGGTTTTCAAATTTCCTTTCATCAGAACTGCAGCTCCCTAGCCTTTCCTGCCTTAGCTGTTTCAGCAGCATCCCAGCCCCCTTCAGGAGGATTTCCTGTGAGCAAAGGCAGGTTGATAAATCCGTGAATAGGAAGCTCTCATCTCTCCTTTTCTTCTCCTCCTGCTTTCCACCCCCCACCTCACATGGCGACTGCATTGATCGACAATAATGGAATCTGTAACAGACTGCCAACAGCAACATTAAGGATATTACAAGTCCACTTCATAAGAATTCGAGCGGGTGGTCGGAACTTGGGGGCAATTCTGGGCATCTAGTCAATAGCTCTGTCTTTCTTTGGAAGAAAGAAAGGGTGCGTGCATGCCTGCTTGTGTGTGTGTGTGTGTGTGTGTGTGTGTGTGTGTGTGTGTGTGTGTGTGCGCGCTTGTAAATCAAACTGACCCACTGCGAGTCAGCTGAAAACATCACCTCCTAGATTTTGCAATCATATTTTCACTGTAAGTCTCCTATTACTGCACACTACTTGTTTACATAATGGTTTTCTCCATTATACCTCATGCCTTTAGAAAGCAAAACCTCTTCCAATTAAAAAATTAATATCTAGCATATGGATTTCATGACTGTCTACTGAAAGATATATTATTGAAAATGAGATTATAATTTCTGTGTAAAAGATAATAATATTAAATAATCTCATATATCCCTAATCGAAAGTCCCCTGACATTAGTTAAAATAAAATCTATTTAAATTATATCTTATTTATTTGAGCAAAGAAGAGTGTAGTTATAATATCAGCTTTATAAACCTTTTCTGTAAACTGAGTGAGTAAGAGACTATGTCAGTATGTGAAGCATCACACTGGTTTTCCCTGCTAGAAGTCATAACTTAGCACCAATTTGTCCTTGTTATATAAACCATCCTTAAATATAAAAGGCAATAAAACTTACTCCTCAGATAATATTCCCTCAATTACTCAATATTCCTGATTCCCTCACAGCTGCCGTACTTACATGTTTAGATTCATTCTACATTAGTGATAATATATGCCAAGCACTATTTTAAGGCCTGACATAGAGACAGCTGCAAACAAGACAGTCAAAATCTCTAGCCCTACAGGGCTTAGAGTACATGGGAAAGTAGTAAACAATGGGCAAGATTAAAGTATATACTACTTTTGATAGTAAATAGCACAAGAAGAAAAGAAGCCGAGATGAATCATTCTAAAGCAGGTAGTCAACCACACCAAGACGTGACTACAGCGTGAAAGTGGTGGGGCTCGGAAGAAGGAAGCAGTTAGCTCAGGAGCAGGAAGAACTAGATGGGAAGAGGAGAAAGAGAAAGGGTGGTCAGGTGGATGAAGTAACTGGAAACTTCATCATGAAAAATTGCAATTGCCGGGCGGTGTTGGCGCACACCTTTAATCCCAGCACTCGGGAGGCAGAGCCAGGCGGATCTCTGTGAGTTCGAGGCCAGCCTGGGCTACCAAGTGAGTTCCAGGAAAGGCTCAAAGCTACACAGAGAAACCCTGTCTCGAAAAACCAAAAAAAAAAAAAAAAAAAAAAAAAGAAAAATTGCAATCAATGTCTTTGTCACTTTACCTTAAAGAGAAGATTGGGGGCTAAGGGGATGCATAAGGCTATTTTTGTTTTGTTATGAGAGCTATCATGAAATACAATTCACACGCCATCACAATTATCCCTTTCAAGTTAATCTGGTTTTGTTTGGTGGGGGGAGGGTTGGTTTTGTTTGTTTTTATGCTATGCATTGAACCCAGTGCCTTACACTAAACCCACATTTAGCACTATCTCCCTCAGCCTTAAAGTATTTTTAGAACAATCAAAAAGTTGTACAACCCTCACTACTACGTAATTACAGAACATTTTTACTGCCTCCACAAGAACCTCTGTCACCCACTATCAGTCACTCTTTTCTTTCCTGGACTCCTAGGCTCCTAGCATTACTAAGTTTGTCTCTCTCAATTTGCCTAGTCTGGACTTCATACAGTATGTCTCTGTGCTTGTTTTCTCATACTTGGGTTCATCCATACTTTTGCAAGTATTACTTCCTACTCTGTATATTTGGGCTGTTACACTTACAATATTACAAACAATGATGACATGAAAACCTGTATATACGTTTGCATGTGGAGGCCTGCATTTTAATAAAATATCAAAATAAGATGTTTTATATAATCTTCGTTTTTATTAAAGAATTTTAAAGTGCTATAAGAGAGCTACCTTCCAATATAACAATCATTTTATTTTCCTCCTAAATCTCATGGGATTCATTCTTCTTGGTGAAACTAAAACCTCTAACTCAGTTTCTTTTCTCCTTCTGTATTATTCTTGCAAACAGGCAAAGATTAACACTAAATAATAATGAATGGTGGTAGGTGATATATGACAGATGATCTTTTCTAAAGTAATATCTAAGTTGGCAAAAGTGGTGGAAGTATTTTCTTTGTATTTTTATGTAGTTTCAAGTTTAATGATAAGGTACAAGAATAGTACAAGGTATTTCTGAAACCCCTTTCCTAGACTCACCAGATGTCTATATGCTCCCAATTTTGTCTCATCATTCTCTCTGTATATTTATCATATATGTGCATTTTCTGAATCATTTGTGAAAGTTGGAGGTATTTTATCTTTTGCCATAAACTATTTTCAGATAAGTTTCTTAAAAAAAAGGAGAATCTTTCACATGAACAATAATAATCGAAATTATGAAATTTAGCATTGGCATTGATTGGTATTTTAAGAATAAAATTAAAGATGTCATTAAGTGTACTATTCACCATCTGAATTCTACTTTTGTACCATAGACTTTTGTTTGAAAAACCACTAATCTGGAAATGGAGAGATGGTTCAAAAATTAAGAGCACAGGCTACTCTTCCAGAGGACTCAGGTTCAACTGACTACTACATGGAGGCTCAGAACTGTCTTTAACTCCAGTCCCAAGGAATATCACACCCTCTTTGGCTTCTGCAGGCACTAGACAATGCATGGTGAGCAGATATACATGCAGGCAAACCCCCCCCACATACAATAAACCCAATTATCCTATAAAAATAATTAAAAACTGAACCCCAAATAAGGGAAAGTAATAATATATATTAAATGTTACAATAATGTCTCTCAAAATTTGAGGGATTTCTGAATATCTCACCATTCAGTGCGCTGTGATAGAGCTACAAGAGTAACTGACTCCAAGACAACTGAGTGAAAGGCTGTGTCTCCTCACTGCTTTAGCTAGGTACAAAACTCTTCCTCTAAGAAGCTTAAACCAAATGCCAAACTATAACTTTTTAAACATTTCAAAGAAATTTTTAAGTTTTTATTATTTATTTATTTGTTTGTTTGTTTACTGTGTGTACATAAGCATATGAGTGCAGAGGTCAGAGGACAAGTTATGGCAGTCAGTTCCCTCTACTAACCCACCTCCAGCTCTCATGCAGTTTGTACATAAATCATGCATCAGCAAGGGTCTCTCACATTCTTGTGAGTTACTTAACCTGTTACCTTTATGTTTTTAGACCTGATGAAACTAACGAAGCTAAGATGAACTTTCACTTATTTGGATTCAGGAAGCAAAGCCACAGAGAAACAAGGATATTAGTTATGAGATGTAGCTCTATTGTAAGTGTACTTAATACATACATAGAGGATGCTTTGATATCCTTCAGTGATACAACTTATAAGACAACAAAAGAGGTAAGGAAATAACACAATTACTAAAAAAAAAAAAAATCTGCTCAAATACTAAAGGCTGGTTTTATTTAAGGAAGTTGAAGACCATTTAGGAATGAAGGGAATCAGATTTTTAAACATTAAAGCTATACTTTCAAGAAGAAAAATTAAATGACAACTATAGTTAATTAACAGATAACTCTTCTTCAAAAAGACCTAGAAAGTGGCTAATATATAATTTTTTAAAATCTCCCCTAAAATAAAATTTAACATTATAATCAATTACTCAAACTGCATACAATTCTTAAAGTGTAAGATTTAGCAACCAATTATCAAATGAATAGTAGCAACTTAATATTTATTGAGTGTGTAAATAGGTAAACAGAAGCATCTACAATTGTTATGACTATTAAAAAGTTAAAAATAATTAGGACAGTATCTCCTCTATCTCTAGGCCCAACAGTATTCTGAATAATTGTGTCACTAAGAGTAAATAGTTCAATTTCCAGCAACCACATGGTGGCTCAGAACCATTTACAATGGGATCTGATGTCCTATGCTGTCGTGAAGATGTACAGGAAGACAGAACACTCACACACATAAATAAATAAATCTTTAAAAAAAAGAGTAAATAGGTCAGATGTGCATTTACACATTTAACTTCATTACTCCTTATGATAATGCATGAGTTGACTGAACATTTCTTCATTTATAAACAGGAAAGTTGAGATTTAGAGATATGACAAAATCATACTGCCTGTGAAGGGGGAGTTGGTAGGTATTCCTATTCCAGAGGTAACAATCCAGAGACTTTCTATAGAAGAGTTGTTGTTGGTTTTTTTTTTTTCTTCCTTTTTTCCTATAGCATTTTTAGCTATTCGGGGTGAGGTACAAATTTAAAGGTAAATAGTCATTACTTGTGAACTAAAGTATTTTACTTGCTTAATGATTTGAGAGACTAAAACAAATTTGAGATCAGTTGCAAAAACCAGTCAGCCAGAATACCTAGTTTCTAATGTAAAATGATGAAAGTCAACTTGAATTTAAAGTTTCATTGTTTTAACATGCTTCTTAACCATAGAATTTCACTGATCATTAGTACACATATAGCTATGTTTCATAAATAAATGTATTTTCCATGTCTAATAAGGATTTTTGACCCTAAAAGCATTTAAAGATTTAAGCATTTAAGCTGTTTGTTGCTGTGTTTGGTAAATTTTCCATTGCCAGCCTCAAAATGGAACCTACGTTTACTTTTACCATTGTTTTAAGTAGCATCTTTAAAGCAAAAAAAGAAAAGAAAAAAAAAGAAACAACAACAACAAACACATTTAGAGAAGAAAATCTGGCATGCGGTTTTTGGGAAAAATTCAATTTGGACATGTGGTGTCTAGTGAAAGTTCATGGAGATAGGCAAAGGAACACTTGAAAATGAAAAAGCAGTCTATAGATTGAGAGAAAATATTTGCAAACTAAATATCTGAAAGGGGGTTAGTATCCAAAAACTAATCACAAAACTCAACAGCAGAAACTGGAATAAACTGATTCAAAAATTGGCAAAGGGCCTGAATAAATGTTTCTCAAAAGACATAAAAATGGCCAGTAGGAGGGCTGGGGGATGGTTGGACTGGTACAGTGCTTGCTCTGCAAGCAGGAGGACCGGAGTGCAGATCCCCAGCA